CTATAAGGCACAGATCCGGACTATTGTTTCCATATTTGAACTGCATCACCCAAACATACCCTGAAACTGTTGGTTTCTGTTCAAAAAAGGGCAATTCGTCTCGTGGGTGCAATGCTTCGCTCACAAACTCACTCACTTCTCTGAAACACCGTAGGGAAGTTGGCGAGCTGGCTTTATTTTATAGATATTCTCATGGACGATGCTCTTCTGGAATATCAACAGTTTTTCCTCCTTTGGCAGTCCCCGCGACATTAACCCGTCAAGTTGAGGCTTCGCACCCCTTCGCGGTCACTTCGGAGACCTGCAGGACATCTCTTCACGAACACTCGTTCATCCGACGAACAGCGAGGCTCTGGAGCACATTGCCTAGGGAGGTGTTCCAGGAGGCATATAACCTCCAGAAATTTAAGGAGAAACACCAATTCCTACCTTATTTCCCTTGGTACTCACGATGTTCTCTGAACATCACAGGATATCCCCATTCGTGGGAACTAGAACATGAAAAAATGTTGGTTATATGGTGATTGTAACTGGACCTCTGTGAGACAGGGCGACATCTCAGAGTGAACAGCCTTAGCCCTGTGCAGAGTCACCACAGGGATGGACCAACCCTTCTCCCCATTACTCGTAGGGGGAGGAAAATTTCTGGCCTTCTTCATGGACGAGACCAGGGTTCGGAAGAGTAGTCTTCAGGAACCTGCATGGAAACGGTCTTTCAAACGAATTTCTGATACTGTGAGCAGCAGTGCTCACAGTTACTGTGGTCCTATTTGAGGTGACCCTTATATAAGATAAAATCAATTATGGCATATCCAAGGTTCAATGGAACAATGAGCCAATAGACCTGAGTGTCATCAGAATCTTCAGTCAGACAGGCCTTGAAAGCAGGTGGAGTGTTTAGTAGGTATGTACACCTTCATCTAGAAGATTCCCACACTACCATGAAGCGAATGGCCCTTCGTGGTGTCCATAAAGAATTTTGACCACCGGACCTAAGATGCAGCCGTTGAACGTCTCAAAAGTAATATTCGGCCAGAACGATCCATACCTCTTTTCACCAGATTCCTAATTAGGGGTTACAAGTCATGGGGTTGAATTAGAAAAAAACTTGTTGAAGGTCTATGTTTGTTATTGCCTGCAAAATGTTGGTGAATACATTAAAACGTTGAAATATCTCAGGAATTTTCCAAAGAAATATTCACCGTTAGCGAATTGATTTCAGTTGAAGTAGCCACACTGTATACAGTCTGTCCAAGATAAGGTTGAACAGCATGGGGATCTCGAAAACGGTAAGAGATACGGAATCGGTTGAATGGGGAAAAAGTTGCGCATTCGGAGGCTCATATCAAGAGCCTTCGGAAATTTTGAAAATTATTTTTAGTTTTTGAGTTATATCGAAAAAAGTGAATTTTTGGAATTTCTATTTTATTTTTTTTCTCCGTTATTATAAGAGATACAGCAAAACTGAGAATACTTTTTCATAGCAACTTTTGATGACGGTCAACGTGTTTCGATATAACTCAAAAACTCAAAATTATTTTCATAATTTTCGAAGGCTCTTGATATGGGCCTCCGAATGCGCAACTTTTTCCCCATTTAAGCGAGTTCGTATCTCCTACGGTTTCCGAGATCCCCATGCTGTTCAACCTTATCTTGGACAGACTGTATACCAAGAATCACCCTGTACAGTTCACCTAGTCATGGAATTTGATATCAGTATTCACGAGCCCATGACAAAACCTACTTATATTGTATGTTTACTCGGAATAATGATTGAAAAAAGGTGTTGCTAGGCAATTGTGCAACACCAACAATATTTCTCTATACATGGTGGTTCTAAGATTCAAAAATTAAGTGACCTTATACTTCACTAGATATATTTATGATTCCTTCATAGAATAGATTCGATACATCAAATCTGAATACATGAGAAGGGAAGGAAACAGTTTTGGCAGTGTGATGGAAAAAACTATGACAGCCAGGATTTCTTTCCTAATTCTGCAATATTTCGATCTTTCGAGTTATTTTTACATATCACTCTGTTTCTGGACACAAAATTACTATTTGGCTTTGTGTCGCCTGATAACTAAACAAAATTATAATATTATCACCAAGTTTTCGAGAACTTCAAGTGGATTTTTTTGAATTTGATTTCCGAAAACGGTTCGAGAGCTGGATGTTAAGTGATAAAATTAGAAACCTTGAAGAATGGTGTGGAGTGCTATAATCAGTATCAATCAAAATATCGTATCAATGTTGTCCAGGGTATTCAGGGACACATCTGGACAGAAGGCAAATTCAATAATAATAAAAGAAATAATTCTTCATTATCGAAACAATTTTTGAGTCCTAGGTTCAAATGAATAATGAAAATGGATATATGTTAATATGAAATTTTTATGAATTTTGACACAATGTGTGGGGTTCTTTGAACCTATATACAAATACTAAAGGGAAATGATATGAATATGAATATATATAGTGATAATGTAGCCTGTTCTCAGAATCAGAGTCAATGATATGACGAGCACAACTGTCCAATCTGTGCACATTTATTTATTCATTTATCTGTGCAATAAGTTTATTTTTGTCGATACAGAAATAAACTCGATGTCAATGCATGTAGAAAAATGCATTTGGCGTTCAAATAAAAACGATTGATAACGAATATGGTGATTACGTTACTATATCGGCAGTAAGATTGTTCAATATTGATAGATTCGTGAAATTTATACTACATAGTTGAAGAAACCTAGAGTCATCTTCACAACTTTTATTTGAATGATCAGAAATCAATCACGCAGTACATTTTTCCGGCTTATAAAAGACCACCATCAGCCGAAAAAAAAAATGTTTCGCCGTTCCAGAAGAACTATGACGTAACTGCAAAATTTTTGAAAATGAGTCATACTAACCAGAAGAAAGAGAAAAGCAGAATCTATATGGTGAAATAATCCCATAATTTCAGTGAAATATTTAGCCGCTAGATGTGAGATACGTCTTTATGGATTTTGTATCAGTTTCCAAAAATATAGACCACTATTTAAAAGACGTAAGAAAGCGGACTCGACAGTTTGACTGTCTGTTCGAGTGGTATTTCGAGTTATAGCTCGGTGTTTTGATGATCTTGAGTTAGGAAAGTCTCAATTATATCGATTGTAAGTTTTATTTTAGATATCGCTTGGAGCGCACGAAAGGAAATCCCTATAATGTGCAAATAACATCGTGCGTTCCTAGGGAGGATAGGAACAGGAGGTAGGTATTGGAATTTTTTTTGAACTTCTGGAGATTATATGTTGTTGGGAATACTTCCTCAGGCAATGAATTCCAGAGCCTAGCCGTCCTATGGATGAAGGAGTTTTGATAAAGTGCTGTTCGACATCTTTCGAGGTTGACAACGAAAGGATGTGCTGACTGGGCTTTTCTAGCTCGTCTGACTGGTTTTGCTAGTGAAGGGATGATAGCAGAGATTACCGAAGAACATTTCTTGTGGAAGTATCGATAGAAGAGTGAAAGGTCGCCGACCTTTCTACGCTGTTCCAATGATGTCAAAGAGTGAGTGACTGGATGGAATCTTAGAGCATCAGCGTATGTTTTGGTGGTTAACCCCATATGTGGGAACAGTATTCAAGAATAGGCCGTATCTGCGCTTTGTAAATCATAAGAAGCTGTTGAGGTGTGAAGTAGCTTTTCGCACGGAACAAGAATCCGATTTTTTGTGAAGCAGCTTTTGCGATGGATCTGACATGTGAAGTTGTCACTGTGCCCGAATCTTCGGAGTTCGGGCAGAACAGAAGATGCCCTTCCTAACATCAATATTGCTCAATTTGTACATATAGGGTAAGTTGAGTTAGTTTTTCATTATTATTCATTTCCAAGAATGAAGGTGTATATGTGGTGTTTGAAAACCTTCTGAGTTCTCATTATTCTCACTTTTGGAGTTCATTCTCTGATGGATCAAGAGCACAACTCAGGCAACCCCCGCCAACAGTTTGTGCATGACAGTATTTCTGATAATGATCCAGATTTTATTTAATCCCGAATTATTAGGTGGCACAGGCAACAGTTAAATGCCTAAGTTCCCAGAAATACAAAAAAAGAACTACATTATCAACATAACTCACTGACATTAATATTGGCTGGCTGTCACCTTCATCGTCAAATCCTTGCTTCATCTAGTTGAGATGCGAACATTCATAGATACTCCTCAAATTATCTGATTTTGTTGTTGTGTTCTCTGTTATCTGCAGTGAGTATTCAAACCAGAGAATTCATTCCATATTCTGATTGAAATGACGATCATAAATATTCTTGAACTTGTCTATCAGGAAAAGAGAATTGATACGTAAGCCGAATCTATAATATGGTGTTCTCGTATGATCACGTCACCCGTTTTGCCGCCTTCTTTATATCATGAAATGTCGTAATTTCAATAATTGTTTGAAAAAGTTACAGAGCTCCGAGGAAAAAACGGTTTGCGACAGTGAACTAGTTTGTGTTACTATACAGGGTGTCTGGTTCACCGACGTTTATCTGAATGGGGGTGATAGTTGAGAACATTTCGAACATATTTTATCATATATATACTATATTATACAGTGTTTCAAATTTCGAGGTATCATCGTTCTTTCAAACATTTCATCTGAATAAATCTCTTTTTTCTCAGATAGTTGAAACGTAATGCGTCGATATTGAACACGAAAAGGAATATAATGTGATAAAAACTTATTTTGGCTCGTTGGAATTCAAAAAACGATTTTTGTAACATCTCATTTTGAATTTATAAGCTATGATTTCTCGAAAAGTGTTACACTTTGTATGATAGTATATATCGTCAAATTTGTTCAAAATCACATAACCTACCACCTCCTTCCGTACACACGTCGGTGAACCAAACACCCTGTATTGTACTCCGAAATAATGAAATTGCGCATTTTTTACTGAAACAGGCCCATTTATTAGAATTAATTCCTGCCAATCCTGGTGTGAAATGTTCTTACCTTCCAAATACCGATATGATCCGAATCCTCCAGCTTGAGCTGATCAGGAGGCGTCAGGGTGAACCCTTCAATGTAATTGGTGCCAATGGGAAAATGGATCAGGTACAAGTCGAGGTATTCCAGTTGCAAACTCTCCAGCGATTTCTTGATGAAGAATTCCACCCTGTCTCTGTGGATCCCGCACATCGGCAGCTTCGTGGTGATGAACAGCTCTTCCCTTGTTACCTTCCCGGAAGTCAGCCATTTTTTCAGGACGCGGCCAATGATGGCTTCGTTTTCGTAAACGTACGCAGTGTCGATGTGGCGGTAACCAGCTTCCAGAGCTGCGTTCAAGGCGTTTTCCAGTTCTGTCTCGTTAGTCGACTGAAATTAATTACGATTGACATTATGAACTCATCGGCAAAAAAACCGACCAACAAAAAATTTGCGCAAATTGTTCACCCTGTATCTTTTTCTGGCATATAGTCAGGAAAGTAGATGTCTTCTGTTGAATATACCGAGAAAGAATTGATATTACCACCACATAGAGAATGCGAATTCTCAATGTGTTTCCTCATATATACAGGGTGATTCACGGTGGATTGCATATTAGACGTTTCTGGAGAACGCAACTCAGGATTATTCTGGAAAGTTGGAACCTTGGATAATTAGTTGTGTTCTATCGACCTAAAATATTATCAGCGTTGCGACGTTGCCGCTTATATTGAAAAGTAGCAACAACTTTGATTTTTCCAATAGAACACCCTGTGAATCATCCTATTTTCATATTCTCCCTGAAGAGCTGATTTCATCGATCTATCACACTTGGGGTCTAGCGGGAATGATAACAAAGATACCTATAGGGTGTGAAACATGGAAATCTTTCAACTGTAAGAATTTTTTGTGTCGAAAATATTCATAATTGATCAGAACGGTTTTCATGTCCCTATCTCAACTTTCCTTGTACTATCAATTGATATTCAATTGAAATAAATACAGGGTGGTTCAGAATCAAGATCTACGACCACCCAGTATCTATTTCAATTGAATATCAATTGATAGTACATGAAGAGTTAAGATAGGGACATGGGAATCGTTTTGATCAATCATTGATAGTTTCGAAAAACGAAAAATTCTTGAAGTTGGAATATTTCGATTCTTGACACCCTATATCTTTAATCTTCCATAATCCCAGGCGTCATCACCAAGGAGATCGATTAAAGAACTTCGTTTCTCTACGACTATAGTATTCTAGATTGATAACATATAGATTAGTAATTGATGAATGAAGATGATTCCGAGACACCGTGGATCCCAACTCATTATTCAACGGCACTCGACCAATCACAGATTCAGAATGTCCAGGATCCACAGCAACTGAAAAGGTTAGACTAATGAAAAACCAGCAAATCTACAAAACAAATTTCTCAAAATATCTACGGGTCACGTCACGGCTTGACTTTCGCGAATGTTAGATTGACTTATAGAGTCTTCTAAGTTTTAACTTTGATATCTGGAGGATATAATGGAGGCTTGCCGTTCCATAGAAATGTACTCTATGAATATTGAAGATATTCAAGATCTTGGATCTCCATGGATGATAACTATGTACAGGGTGTCCCAAACTGGATGCGTTCTTATGGGAACACCCCTTATTTGAAGAGATGGAAAAAAATTAATCTAGGTGTCCGGAGCTTAAATTCAATAAGGAAACCACTGGCGCAAACGAGACTATGCTATCTCTTATCGTTTGGCCGCCAGAGGGCTTTTCTCGAAATTCGTTGATTTCTTCAATGCCCCATAACTTTCTTATTAATGAAGATAATTCATTTTTGTAAAAACATTCTCGTAGCACTTTTTTCCATAAAATCTATTGAAATGAGAAGTTTTTCTACAGGGCGTTCAGATTGCTGTGCACCATCCCAAACTCTGTTTTTTTAAATGGACCACCCTATATATTATGATATTTTTGAGAAGCTCGTAAAATTTCCTAAATTTTGATGTAACACTCGTCATGTTTATCTCAGAAACCATCAGCAACATTGCGATTTAAAAATTAAAATATTGTGCCTACAGAAATCAAGATTGCCCTGACTAATGAAATGACATTGGATGCTAATATGTTATAGTTGAAACCACCGATCTAAAGTTTTTACGTAAAGAAGCAGTAGGCCGTGATCATGATTATTCTGTTTTTGTTGTTTGACAGCTTCTAAATAGTTGAGAATTGACAGTAGAACTCGATAATGTTTGATATTTTGGTATTTTCGGTAGAAAATAAGTATATTCATAAGGTTTCTGAAGAGTTTTAAGGAATGTATGAAAATTACGAGAAGTTCAACATGCTTGAATGTTACATAGAAAGTAACAAAAATGCTCGGGCGGCAGAAAACTTGTACCTATTTCCAAAGATATCCCGAACGACAGCAACCATCCAGGGACATATTTGCTAGACTTGCCCATAATCTCCAAAATTTTGGTTCTTTCAACAAACCCAGTGCAAGTTATGCTAAAAATCAAGAAATTCAAAATGAAAATGAAATAAAAACTATAACCGTATTCGGAACTTTATATCAAAATAATGGTAAAACTTCCACAAGAAAACTTGAAGCAGAGACTGGCATACCCATATCCATCGGATTTTGAGAAAAAAAAATTCAAGCCCTATCGAACTCGCAAAATCCATCATCTTCTTCCTGGGGATTTGGATAAAATGAACCAGATTTCGCCATAAATTGTATTTGGACCGACGAAGCTTCGATTAGTAGTGCGGGCATATTTAATCGATTTATTGATTACACTTGGTCTCAAGACAATCCCCATGTGACTGTTCAAAACAAACAACAAGGAAGATTCAGTTTTGATGTGTGGGTAGGAATTTTCAGAGGACAATTCATTGGACCCTATATTTATGATGAATTCTAGAGAATATTTGGATATTTTAAGGAACCAGGTTGAACCGTTCTTGGAAGATATTCCTATTAATCTGATACCCAGAGTAGTTTTCCAGCACGATGGTGCCCCTGCACATTGTGCAAGGATTATCAACGATTACCTCAATGTCCAGTTCGGTGAGAAGTGGATGGGAAATCAAGGGCCCATACAATGGTCTGCCCGGTCACCGGACCTGACGCCCTTATATTTTTTTCTTTGGGGTAGAATTAGAGACTTAACTTATAAAAATAATAATTTCAATAGCCGGGAAGAATTAGAAAGGGTGTTGCGAGGTGCGTTTAACCGAGTTGTAAATATACAACTCATTAATGCAGTTAATGCTGTTACCAAAAGATGTAGAATTTGCCTTCAACAAAATGGGGGACAATTTGAACATTTGCTGACATAATTCCATTATGTTTGTGTTTATGTTCATTCAATATCGTTGATTAAGTTCAATATAATTTTATGTTAGGATTTAGTGTTAGTGTAATAGTAATAGTTGGTTTGTTGTTGTTGTCCTTTGTATTTTTAATAATTATAAATTCATTATAACAACTATGAGTAATTTAATCATGAAACTTCAGATCTGTAGTTTCAATCATAACATGTCAGCATCCTATGTCATTTCATTAGTCAGAGCAATCTTGATTTCTGTAGGCACAATATTTTAATTTTTAAATCGTAATGTTGCTGATGGTTTCTGAGATAAACATGACGAGTGATACATCAAAATTTAGGAAATTTTACGAGCATCTCAAAAATATCATAATATATAGGGTGGTCCATTTAAAAAAACAGAGTTTGGGATGGTGCACAGCAATCTGAACGCCCTGTAGAAAAACTTCTCATTTCAATAGATTCTATGGAAAAAAGTGCTTCGAGAATGTTTTTATCAAAATGAATTATCTTCATTAATAAGAAAGTTATGGGGCATTGAAGAAATCATCGAATTTCTAGAAAAGCCCTCTGGCGGCCAAACGATAAGAGATAGCAAAGTCTCGTTTGCGCTAGTGGTTTCCTTATTGAATTTAAGCTCCGGACACCTAGGTTAATTTTTTTCCATCTCTTCAAATAAGGGGTGTTCCCATAAGAACGCATCCAGTTTGGGACACCCTGTACACAGGGTGAATAAAAAAATCAAAAATATCAAAATTTGCCACTGAGTAACTAACACCCTATATGAGATTTTGCGTTCAAATTTCGTATGGAGGTATTTCAGCTATGCCAGATTCGAATAGGCTAGTCACAGTTTCGACAAAAATTGCCTGATAGTCGTTTTCGAAATTTTGATCCCTTCAACAAACAAAAGTAGGCCTTGAGAATCTGAATATTTCAAATTTGTTCACATCCTAGAATAGAGCTCGTTGAGTACTATATTATGCAATTTATGTTTTTGTAAATCGGTCGATGGGTTCCAAATTAAAAAGGTGTTGCGAGTTGAAATCGCACACATTGTATATGTATATATATTCCTGGGATCACACTGTCACAGTTTATGGAATACTATTTGTATATTTTCTAAACTGTGCTCATATCCATTAAATGAAATACCCTCGGAAATACCTAAGTGATTTACTATTGTAGAATAATGATATGATAAGAAAAGCCATTGGAACACATAGAAAACATCATTAACTTTTCATTATCTTTGTTCATCGAACCATTTCCTGATCGAAGGTTAAACCTTCAATTTGAATAATTTGTATACCATATCGAATAATTTGTGGTATGTTCGTTCTTCATGCATCATTTGATACTCCCTTGGAAATAGTTAGTTATATTACAAAGTACACGAGTTTAAGAAACTCAAAGTGAGACCTACAATTAAACATTAATCCACCCTACAACACATCAATTATTCTCAGGTATTTGTTTTACAAGTAGTTTCTAAGTCTTAACACTGGAGTGTATTGTTCAAAATCCAGATTACCAACGGTTATTTGCTCACATTTGAAAATTATGTATGGCACAAAAAAGATTACATTCTTTGAAAAACTGCATTTCAAGTAAAACATCACTAACATTGTTTTGTAAGTGACTGATCGAAAGATATGAAATAACTCGTTGAATAAGGAATCAGTTGAACAATGAAACTCAGATTTTTGTGAATTTCAGATGATTCATTTTCTGGTTTTCACATGTTTCCATCAGGCGATATATCACAAGGTGAAAGAAACATGTTCGAATTATCCTTCTGGGTATCTTAGGACTCCAACAATCGCAGCCTCTCGTACTATGTCGTCCCAACCTGTATATATAATTACTAAATATCAAATCATCAATCTTTGAAGCTCAATTTGGAATTCTTTGGCAATGAAAGTGTTTCCAAGAAATCATATAACCTCCAAGAGTTGAAAAAAATCGAAAACCTATCTCCCCAGGTACGCACGATGTTCTTCGAACAATATAGGGATTCCCTCTCGTGCGCTCCAACAAAGAGTGAAAAT